AACAAAATATCGCGTAAATTTTGAGAAACTATATAACCCATGATTTTATATAACAGAAAAATTAGATCGACAGCGATTCACCTGAGAACAGTCCCGTCCATTCGGCCAATATAATACAGTTCCAACGCTGATTGTCAATTAGCAAAAACTTTTGTAATTACCTGCTGCAGTTCGTACAATTTACGTCGATTCTAACGACATCCACTTCCACGTTTTCTATGGGTTTCTCTATGAATATCTGCTATTGGACAGGACAGCGGTAATTAAATGAATAAACCGAAGATACCCGCATTAAGTTGCACACTTTTGTCTTCGTCTTCTAAGTCGAATTCAGACTCGCGTTCCTCGTATTCTACATTTTCGTCCAATTCCTTGAAATCTGGTGCGAAAGCACTCCAGTTTTCCTTAAAAACGAAAGATTCCGCTACACGTGAAGATGACTCATAAAACAATAGCCAAGCAAGTGGATCTTCTAAGAGCAAAACAAATAGTCGCAAACCCAAATATCCTAGATTTAATGAACGACAACATTCAGACAGAACCTTAGAACGAAGCTCGTTCTACAACCAGTCCGTCCGTCAGTCACTCTCAATGTTTGCTTATACTTCCAGGCAGCGGAAGCAACAGTGTCACCAATGTCAGCAACAATGTGCCAACATCCCAGTTTCCGGTGAGGCACCTGCTACAGGTCATTTTCAAATTTCCTACAGATTTTCGACCGGTGGGTCAGGGGCAATGGCGAAGTCTGAATGATACTGAATTCAAAGCTACGCTTACGCGGTCATCGACCGGGTTAGTAAGGGTTGCACAGGCCGTTGGGTAGCAAGGCACGAAAGAAAAAATTTGTCATCAGAACCTACTCCAGGCCTTGCGACAGCTGGAGGAATAACGGCGACGGCTAAAATATCAGTCAACAGAAGAGTCGCTATCCTTTCTGAACAGAGGAGGCAGACAACACGATGCCATTACGCACGTCAGGTGAGGTTCTGCAGGAATGACACCGAGAGTGGGAGCTCACAGCCAGAGAGAAAGAGAAGCGTGAGTAATGATCTTCTTCTCATAATTCAGAAGGAAAGAGCATGAATCTTGCCTTATCAGAGTGAAAAATAGTGCGCAACGTAGCAAACAATATGTGCAAGCGGCAAGGAAATTAAAAGGAAGAACAGTTTAAAAGTACGACAGAAAAGGGTAAATAAAAAATAAGAAAAAAGAAATGAGAAATGATGAGTAATTTCTTAAGCAGTTAAATAAAGCTAGGTGCAAAGTAGCTAACGGATTTACACATTATCACAATCATCACCAGACGCTTTGATGAATGGCGATTCATGTACAAACAGACCGGTTATGGTAATTTCTATTTAATTGCACTTAATCGCATTCAGCATTTCCAAAATGCATTTTAGCGTTATACAGTGATCTTTCCGTCCGCTAATAAATAGCAATAGGCTCTAAGAGTTTATAATGAGCCTTCTGGTCATATCGAGGTAGGAGTTGTAATTTTGATAAGTTCTGCGATGTATAGTTTAGATTTTCGTCAAGACACTTATACCTTAAGGTTCCCAAAATGGGAT